TAATAATAATAAAGTTGGAAGGGACCTTGGAGGTCATCTAGTCCAACCCCCTGCTCAGGCAGGAAACCCTATACCATTTCAGACAAATGGCTGTCCAGTCTCTTCTTAAAAACTTCCAGTGTTGGAGCATTCACCACTTCTGGAGGCAGGTTGTTCCACTGGTTAATTGTTCTAACTGTCAGGAAATTTCTCCTTAGTTGTAGATTGCTTCTCTCCTTGATTAGTTTCCATCCATTGCTTCTTGTCCTGCCTTCAGGGGCTTTAGAGAATAGCTTGACTCTCTCTTCTTTGGGGCAGCCTCTGAGATACTGGAACACAGCTATCATGTCCCCCCTCATCCTTCTCTTCATTAAACTAGACATGCCCAATTCCAGCAGCCTTTCCTTATATGCTTTAGCTTCCAGTCCCCTAATCATCTTTGTTATTCTTCTCTCTACTCTTTCTAGAGTCTCAACATCTTTTTTATATCGTGGTGACCAAAACTGGATGCAGTATTCCAAATGGCCTTGGTTATCAGTAATAAGACTAAGTACAGAATAAATTTCAATTTCTTCCACTTTCCCCCACTATAACTAAAATAAAAGTTATTTTATATCTAAAAGGAAACAAGGAAACCCGTTCACCAGCATCCCTTTTGAGCCTTTAAGATTGCAACCTAAATGAGAAGTTGTTTTGACATAGCTTTTAAGAGAAACCTATAAAAGGTTTTTGCTCATGACCTAAGGAGAAATCACTTATTTCTTCCTTCTCCTAACAAACGATGTTGGTGACAGCAATTCGGTGTTGAATAGATCAACCACATCTTTTTTGTGGAAGAGTTTTTAAGAATAGCCTATTTTAGTGAGACAGAGGAAATAGAATTTGCAAGCTTAGGTTCAAAGTCGAAAGTTCGCTGAATTGCAAAAAAGACATTTCCTTTCAAACCAGCCACACTTGCCAGCGAGAAAAATCACAAAAATAGAAATGAAGTCAGCTGGATTATTTTATTGCTAAGGAGGTGAAGAGATAGTTTTCTGACTTATAAAAAGGACACAAAATGCTTCCCCAACAAGGAATATCTGCAGGGTGTGGTGAAAAATGCCAGGATGATCAGTCACCATAATGTAATCAAAGCTCCGGAGGGGTTTTATGTGTAATTTGCACAGAACGGGTATGGCTGTGATTGCCCTGATGCAATCGCCATCTTGACTTTTTTGACCACATCTTGCAGACACTCCTGTTCCACAAGGATTTGGGTTATATAAGCACCCTGCCAACAAAAGTACGTATAGTCAGGGCCATGGTTTTCCCAGTTGCAATGTATGGCTGTGAAAGTTAGACCATAAGAAAGGCTGAGCGACAAAGAATTGAGGCCTTTGAACTCTGGTGCTGGAGAAGACTCCTGCAAGTCCCCTGGACTGCAAGGCGATCAAACCGGTCAGTCCTAGAGGAGATCAACCCTGACTGCTCTTTAGAAGGCCAGATCCTGAAGTTGAAACTCAAGTACTTTGGCCACCTAATGAGAAGGAAGGACTCACTGGAGAAGAGCCTAATGCTGGGAAAGATGGAGGGCAATAGAAGAAGGGGACGACAGAGAATGAGGTGG